TGCAGCGGCTCTGTTCTCTGAGCCACTCAGATGTACAGGGCTTGGCTGATCACCACCCCACTCCCCGCTGTGTGGGCAAAGCTGTGTTGCGGCCAGTCTGTGCTCCACCCTGGCGCTGTGCGTGCACAGCATTTAAGACCAGAAGTGAAATGACAAACACCACTTTCTTCCCATGGAGAGAATCAGCCATAGGACCACACTCAGGAAACGTAGTCCATACTTGGGTGGCCAGGTCTAACTCTTGGCCCTGTTGTCTTAGATTTAGAAGAAGAGAAAGGGTCTTGGTAGGCAATCAGCTGACTAACACAGATCTCAACATGAAGGAAAGGAAAAGGAGTCTTTCAGCAGATGTGGTGGGAGGAAGAGGATGTTGATGGTACGAAAGCCTGTCAAGGATTGGTGAGTGCTCTACAGGCCACAGCCAAGTACCCCTGCCCCACCTTGGCCTGGTGGGATGTGATGGGATTGAATGACTGCCCATGAAACTAGGGGCCAGGCAGAGAGCTAGGATCCTACGGACAGGACTGCTCAAGAGAGACAGGCGAGAGGGCAGAGTGACTTGTGGTCCATTGACTGCAAGAAGGACTGGAGTCGTGCGGCTGCCCCAAGAAGCCAAAGTGAAGGGCCCCTGTCCATTAAAGGGAACCCAGGTGAAGGAAGACAAGTTGAGCAGAGACTCCATTCTAGAACATTCCTGGGACTATTCTTGAAAAGAATGATAAGGCATGGCAAGAATCTGAAGCAAAGAACTGTTCTGAAATTCTTCAGAATCCTGAGAACATGAGTGAGTTGTTTAGGAATGGCCCCTTCAGCCCCATTCCACCATGGCTAGGGGGAACATGGTGCTGGGCTCCACTTCTCCCCTCCAGCTTAGCAAGCAGGAGGTTCTCAGCCAGACCCCCGTAGACCCACAGAAGGTGATTTTCTTCTTGACACTCCTCTCTAGTGACATGTACTTTTGCTATTGGTCCCCTTATGGCTTTTACCATTCCTGATTTTTTTTTTTTTTTTTGACAGGCAGAGTGGACAGTGAGAGAGAGAGACAGAGAGAAAGGTCTTCCTTTGCCGTTGGTTCACCCTCCAATGGCCGCCGTGGCCAGCACGCTGATCCGATGGCAGGAGCCAGGTACTTCTCCTGGTCTCCCATGGGGTGCAGGGCCCAAGCACTTGGGCCATCCTCCACTGCACTCCCGGGCCACAGCAGAGAGCTGGCCTGAAAGAGGGGCAACCGGGACAGAATCCGGCGCCCCGACCAGGACTAGAACCCGGTGTGCCGGCGCCGCAAGGCGGAGGATTAGCCTAGTGAGCCGCGGCACCGGCCTCATTCCTGATTTTGTATCTGTCTTCTCTCCCACATTGGAAACACCAGGAGGCCTGGGATCCCCACCACCTATGCATATGGTTCTTAATACATGCTCAACACATAGTAGGCACTCCATTAATAACTACTAACTTTCTAGAAGGCCTTGTGGATGGGATAGTGACTTGGGATGACACTAAAGAAGGAGATAAGAGCCACACTGCCCTGGCAGCCTCACCTGTGGCCTTCCTCTCATGGCCCCACTCTTCACTGCTACCTTTTCCTTGGAACAGGTGGGGTGGGAGAGACTGCTGTCTCCAGCATACCACGGAGTCTGGGATGCATCAAGGGAAGAGGCTCCTCATTGTCTTATGTGCTTCCAGGCCAATTGTCTTCCTGCTAAAGCTCCACACTTTGTAAGGGCTATTTCCTTCTACTTAAGATTCCCTACACACCTCAGTTCGTCTTCCACAGACAGGGCTGTACAACCTCTTGCCATGAGAGATGTGGCCGTTTGTCCTGGCCATCCTCTTTCCATCCAGGCTGGCCTCAATGCCTCTGTGGACATCTGTCTGACACTGGCCTTGGAGATCTGACCTCCTCAACAGAGCCTTTCATCCCTTCACTTTGGCTACCTGCTGGTTCTTCCCCCAACCATGATGCCAGCTTCTTGAAGGCAGAGGTTGTGAGTTCCCAATGCCTAGGACAGGGTTCACCTGATAACAGGCTCTCAATAAATGTTTCAGTGGATGGCTGAGCAAACACATGTAAGAAAATGAGTATGTGGTTCACATTTGAGTACTAAAGTAATATACTTATTTAATAATTCAGACTAAGGGGCCAGCACTGTGGCGCAGCAGGTTAATGCCCTAGCCTGAAGCACCGGCATCCCATATGGGCACCGGTTCTAATCCTGGCTGCTCCTCTTCTGGTCCAGCTCTCTGCTATGGCCTGGGAAAGCAGTAGAAGATGGCCCAAGTCCTTGGGCCCCTGCACCCATGTGGGTGACCTGGAAGCAACTCCTGGCTCCTGGCTTCGGATCGGCGCAGTTCTGGCCGTTGTGGCCAGTTGGGGGGTGAACCATCGGATGGAAGACCTCTTTTTTCTCTCTCTGCCTCTCTGTCTCTGTAACTCTGACTTTCAAATAAATAAATAAAATCTTTTAAAAAAATTCAGACTAAGTTAATTGATTCACAGGCTCTTTAGCTAGCTGTAATTATCTGTGCAAGTTCTTTAGTTGGAGGATATTAGTACTATTAATAACTGCAAAGATCATTATTTGATTAACAAAAGTTTGCTGTGTTTGATTTATGCGAATATTAGGTCTTTGTATGGGACTGTTATGAGAAAATACCTATTGACAATGGGAAGTGGAGGAAGAACTGACTTGAAATGTAAAAGGAAGCAAACATTGACAATCCCATTGTCAGAACAGAGCTGAGAATCACTTGTGAGAGCTACCCTGGTTTAAGGATGTGCTCTTGTACCCCACAGATGACTGTACCAAAGGTCATGTCCTTTGGATTCATCTGTGACCTGGGATTGAACATAGGTAACCAGGCAGTAGGCATTCAGCCCAGGGGTTCAGACAACTGTGCCCCATATCAGAGTTGCCTGGGTTTGACTCCCAGCTCTGGCTCCTGTCCCTAGCTTCCTGCCAATGCAGAGCCTGGGAGCCAGTGGTGATGGCGTAAGTAGTTGGGTCCCTAACACCCCCATGGGAGACCTAGATTGAGTTTCTAGCTCCAGGTTTTGTCCTGGCACAGTCTCAGCTCATGCAGGCATTTGGAGAGTGAACCAGTGGATGAGAGCTCTGTCTGTTTTTCTCTGTCTCTTGGCCTCTTAAATAAATAAAAAATCAAAACGAATTAGTAATGGAGTTAAATACAAAACAAACACATAAACCAAAAAAAGTCTCTGCCTCCTCCGCAAATACAGGGCCAAGGGATCATTTTTCCTCCGTTAAAGCTTAAAGACCACTGTGGACAAGCCTGTGGTTCAACAGCAGCATATTTACTGGCTTGATCAAAGTGGGCCATGTGGAAGAGCCATGAAATGCTGCCCAGTCAGAGGGAGGTTTGCGAGGTCTGGGCTCCTGCTGAGGGTACTGAGGGTACTGAGGAGGGCCTAGGGAAAGCAGGGTGAGCTGTATTCCGGCTGCTGCTTCTGCGCAGGATTAGGATAGGAGGATTAACAAGGAGTTAGGTGCTGCCATGAGCAAGGATGACTCAGCATTTGGGTGTCCTAGTAAAAGACCAGAGTCGCAAGGTGGGTGTCGGGGCATTCTTGGTGATCACTCAAAGACAGGGTGACTGAGGCATTTTCCAGAATCAAGACCCAGAGAAACAGTATTTGCTGTGGACGCTGCTGCTGGCTTTACCCATCGACATCCCAGCCGCACTGACAGCAGGGCCATGCTGACTCTTTTTCTGTCTATGATGATTTTTACTCTTGCAGTCCTGGACAGTTTTAGCTTTCACTTAACTGGATTCAGCCAAATATTAATGATTCCATTTTTAAATCATGCTAAAGACAAATGTTCACACGTCCCTCCATCACAGTGACAATGGACTACACACAGGATCAAAGGCGCTGCAAAGCCTAATGAGGCCAATGCCAAGAAATCACAGGATGATGGTCTGGGAAAAGCAGCGGAAGATGGCCCAAGTGCTTAGGCCCCTTGCACCCACTTGGGAGACCTGGAAGAAGCTCCTGGCTCCTGGCTTTGGCCTGGCGCAGCCCTGGATGGTACAGCCATCTGGGGGAGTGAACCAGTGAACGGAAGAATTCTCTCTGTGTGTCTCGCAGGCATGGAAAGCCATGACATGGTGGCAAAAAACAATCTAAATGAAGGATCCTGGTGAACAACACCCCAGCAGAAGGAACAGGCCATCAAGGAGAGAGAGGCGCCTTTCTCTGAAGGGAGGAAGGAACCTCCACTGTGATATGGCCTTGACTAAACAAATTCAGAGTTGGTGAACTCAAGGGGCTTCCATAGCCTAGACAGCTCATAGCAAAAGTCTAGGGTGATTGCTGACATCATAAATAAGAGTGCCAATAGTTAAATCAACAACGGGAGTCACTGGGTTCATGCTCCCCACACAGGATCTCTCTCCTTAATATGTTTAACTATGAAACTCAAAAACAACACTACTAGTCAAACAATACCCTATACCTGGTTCGGTTGTGTGAGTGCAACCTGTTGAAATCCCTGCTTAGTATATACTAAGTTGATCTTCAGTATATGAAGGTAATTGAAAATGAAACGTGATGAAGGGCGGGATGGGAGAGGGAGTGGGTGAGGGGAGGGCCACGGGAGGGAGGGAGGTCGGGGGGGGACGCCACAACAATACAAAAGATGCATTTTATATTCTACTTAAAACTATTGATTGAACTCTGTAATTAATACACAATTACTCTTAGGTGTTTAGTTAATGCTATAACTAGTACTCAAATAGTATTTTACACTTTGTGTTTCTGTGTGGGAGCAAAATGTGGAAATCTTTACTTAAGATACGCTAAATTGATCTTTTGTATATAAAGATAATTGAAAATTAATCATGATGTGAAGGGGAAGGGGAGAGGGAGTGGGAGAGGGGAGCGTTGTGGGTGGGAGGGAAGATACGGGGGGGAGGAAGCTATTGTAATCCATAAGCTGTACTTTGGAAATTTATGCTCATTAAATAAAAAAAAAAAAGAATTCTCTCTCTATATCTCCCTCTCTCTTAAAAACAAAATGCCTTCCCTGCTCTCCAGCCAACTGATGGCCCGTCTTGATTTTAGTCCCACTCCCTTCCTCGGCCTTTGTGTTAATTATCTATTCCTGCACAACAAATTTCCCCAGACAGCACTCCGGAGTGGTAATGGGAGGTGGTCAGCGAAGCCACTCCCTGAGAAAGACTTCAAGGAAGCTGATCAAAATTAGCAGTAACAGTCATTCAAAATTTTTTGAGCTTGATCCAAGGGTTTATAACAAATTGAGAAGCATTATTTCAGTAAAACAAACAGCCAAACAAAAACCTCTGGACAACAGGAGTCCATGGAATTCGAGCTAGGGACGGTGCACATCCCCCTGTGGTTCTGCCTTGTGGCAGATCTGTCCCTGTGAGCTCAGCAACCAAGTGGCAGTTCACGTCTCCCCCGATCCTTGGAGTAGAACTATTCAAGGTAGTGGCAGAATCCATTTTCTGTATCTCCATGCTGTAGAAAGCTTGTATCAAATGTGTAAGGGCACGCTGGGTGTCAGCAGGGTTGGCTCCGTCCAAAGCCTTGCTCCCGGGGCTGGGCCTGGGCCCGGGCCTTCTCTCTGTGTGTGTCTTGTCTCCTGATGTCCCCTTCTGATATTGCCTGGGGCCCACCCTAAGCACATCATGTGACCTTAATTACTGCTTTAAAGGTCCTGGAGCCAAATACAGTCAGTTTCGTAGGCCCTGGAGGTGGGGACTTCAACATAGGAATCCTAGGGGCCTACGACTCAGCCCATGACAGCCTCCCTTTCACAGTGCAGTGGGCAGGAGGTGGCCTGGCTCTGGGATGCTGTCATCTCTCCCCTGTCCAGCGGGGGCTGGGGGCAGGGACAGTAACAGAGCAGGAAAGGAGCTGCTCGTTCCCTGATGGCCAGCAGGAGGCGGTGGCCTGGCTCTGGGATGCTGTCATGAGGCAGGGACAGTAACAGAGCAGGAAGGGCACTGCTTGTTCCCTAATGGCCAGCAGGAGGTGCTCCCTACTGCTTGGCCTGCTGGTATTCCCCAGCTTGGTCCCAGCCCTCTTCAGGAAAGGGCACCACCATGAGATCCTGGACGGTGTGTGGTGAAGAGCTGGTGCCCCTTCCTCCTCCACCAGCCTCTCGACCCCAGCAGCAGCCTCAGAGGCTCTCCCCCAACCCCACCAGACGCACAGACCTCTGGGAGAGCACTTGGCAGGGAGGTGCAAGCCTGGCCCTGTCCAGGCCCCTGGAACACGGGCCTGGCTTAGCCATTCAGATGGCAGCTGCAGGCTGCTCCCAGTCCCTGCTGGGGGTGGGGGTAGGCTCAGGGACAAACACGCTTACCTGCTGTGACAGCCGGCATCTAACTCATCAGAATGGGAACGCTGAAGTCATATCTTAGAAAGCCCAGGGCAGGCGTCAACAAGTTGCCTCTTTAGGACATGGAGACTTTTCTTTCACCTCCGATCTTTGCTTGGGCTTCCAGAGCCAATCCCCAGTCGACAGGCAAAGCCCCTGTGCACTCCTCTCTACCTGAAGGTCACCATGCCCAGGGAGCAGCCAGAACCCACAGTGCTCCCTCTTGCTGGGGGAATGGGATCCTTGGGAGTCTGGGGAGTTGGTTCACGAGGGAGCGCAGCTGAACACAGTAAGATCCAAACCACAGTCAGAGGCTGACCTACAGTAACAATTTCTGATTCCCTACCTTCCTTCCCACCCTGCTGCCTGACTCATCTGGATATTTTAAGCTACAACAAAAACCTCTGTGCTCATGTCTCCTGGCTCCATAATGGAACATCGAGCCCTTGTGAGGCTTGTGGGAGTAGAATCATTTCACATCACAAAGGAGCCGGTGTTCATTATCACAAAGTGGACTCTAGATTCTCAAGTGGCCCAGACAATTACTGTCTCGGTCGTCATATAAATGCGAACCAGCGACGGATTCCACAGGGAACTTCAGAGCCAGAATTGATGGTAGGAATAGCCCTGCCCTGTGTTTCTGGCAGTCTTGATAGATTGCTCCCACCCCCACCCCGATCTTTTGTCCTCAACTGTCAGACAGTGAAAGGAACCCCACTGCTGTGATCTGAATGTGTTTCCTAAAAGCTCATGTGCTGGACACAGAGTCTCTAAGTTCATGTTTTAATAGAATGTGGGGATGCAGCCCATGCAGATAATTGGCATTGGATGTTGTGAGGGTAGGGACCCCCACGATGCCATTAATGGCCTTACACGAAGAAGGAGACCGAGCTGGCACAGCTGCTCTTTCTTGCCATGGGACGCCCTTTGCCATGTCCAGCAGCGAGAAGGCCCTCGCCAGATGCCAATGCCACACTCTTGGACTTCCCAGTTCACAGACGCATAGGCCACATAAACTTTTTTTTTTTTATTTGACAGGTAGAGTTATAGACAGTGTGAGAGAGAGAGACAGAGAGAAAGGTCTTCCTTCCATTGGTTCACACCCCAAATGGCCGCTATGGCCGGTGCTGTGCTGATCCGAAGCCAGGAGCCAGGTGCCTCCTCCTGGTCTCCCATGCGGGTGCAGGGGCCCAAGCACTTGGGCCATCCTCCACTGCCTTCCCAGGCCACAGCAGAGAGCTGGCCTGGAAGAGGAGCGACTGGGACTAGAACCAGTGCCCATACAGGATACTGGGGCTGCAGGCGGAGGATTAACCAAGTGAGCCACGGCACCGGCCCCGCACATAAACTTCTATTCTTTACACATTTTCAGTTTTTTTGTTACAGCAACAGAAAATGGACTAAGACACAATAAATTAAAAACCCTTGCTATCACAATCATATATTTAGAACATATCTGAGAAAGCTTCAAGAGCCAGGTGACACACAAAATTGAAAAATGGCTACGCCCCCCCCAGATCAGTCAGGGGTCCAAGACAGCAGCCCCAACCTCGCGAGCAAACAGGACACTGTCAGCTCCTGGGGAGTCTGCAGGCTGAGTCTGGGGGGCCTTTTCATGGACGACTTCTTATTAGCAGCCTCCTCTAGAGGGGGCACACGGCCAAGTGCCAGCACTACCCCAGCGTGAATACCCAGCATGGATAATCGTGACGTCTTACGTTGAACTGTGCATATGTTCTTGGCTTTGAGTGCACAACCGTATTCTCTTTGCTCTGAAAAGAGTGCAAAATATACAAGAAGACTGCAACACACATAATAATACATAACGCACAATATACGGAGTATATTCCTGTCATTTCATCAGGTGTGTCTCAAAGGAAATGCCTTAGATTCAAATCTAACAACACTAGCAATTGAGAACTCTTATCAAATCTAATGATGCACGCTGATATTGTAACACAAACGCAAGACTGCGACAGGGGCTGTGTTACACTGAACACTGAACTCAATCACCCCAAATCAGACCTCCTACGACAGGACCATGGGTGGCTGTCACCACTTTCTTGGGAATGAGTGCCAGAGGGGTGTTGGAGAGTTGGGTTCCGACTGGGAATCTTGCAGGATCGCAGTGCGCGGAGCTCCTGGTCACTGCACGGCCAGCTGTAGGGGACTGGGTAGGGTCACCCTACTCTTCCTGGTTTGCAGAGCACCTGGGCACTGAAGCTTCCCAGCTTTATAGACAGGCAACTCCACATCCACTCTCTGAGCAGTTTCTGCTCTTCAGGTAGCCATGGGTGTGGCCATGGGAAAATACAGGCCTATTTGTGAGCCTCTGATCCTCTAGGACCCTGGCTCCTTCTGGACTCAAGGGGACCACGGCCTGCAGATGCGAGTAGACGTGGCTGAGCCAGACTCCTTCAATAAGCAGAGGCAACTTGTTACCCAGGAACTACCCGATAGGAGAGGAGGCACAGAGATGCTTTTCATATGCAAATTTGTCCAGGTGAGACCCTAACCAGGTCCCTGCAAGACACAGGTAAAGGTGTGCTCACCTGCCCCACAGCCTTCCACTCCCACAGGCTTCCTACAAGGCCTTCTCTGCCTCCCTCTGAGGCTGATTGACAGGTCACTGCCAACTCGAGGCTTTGGAGAATCCGAGAGAAAATTAGGCTTCCTGTACGGCTAGTTCTGCTGTCCCTCCATCTGCCAGGGAATGTGTAACAGACAGGAAAGAGGAAATGGAACCTTCTCCAGCACACTGATGCTTTTAAACTCATTCCCTTCTTTTGCCTCCCCGAACCGAAGAGCCCCAGGGGCGGGTGCTATGGCACAGTGGGCTAAGCCTCAGCCTGCAGTGCCGGCATCCCATATGGGCACCATTTCATGTCCCAGCTGTTCCACTTCCGACCCAGCTCTCTGCTATGGCCTGGGAAAGCAGTGGAAGATGACCCAAGTGTTTGGGCCCCTGCACCCACATGGGAGACCAGGAAGAAGCTCCTGGCTCCTGGCTTCAGATCGGCGCAGCTCTGGCTGTTCTGGCCATTTAGGGAATGAACCAGTGGATGGAAGATCTTTCTCTCTGTCCCTCTGTCTGTAATTCTACCTCTCAAATACATTTTAAAAAAAATAAAATAAAATAAGTTTTCTAGGGCAGAATGAGAATGAAGTCTAGGGAAATGTGTGAGCAGCCTGCTGGAGGTATGTAGTTATAAATTTATTTTATTCTTTGCCAATTTTTATATTTATATAAAAGAACTTTCATGTATTTTATATATATGATTTTAAGAACATAATGATACTTCCCACCCTACTCTCCCTCCTCCTCCCTTTTTTTCTTTTATTTTTGCAATGACATACTTTAAATTTATAATCACAAGCATATGGTGGTTATAAATTTAAAGGCTAATCAGATTCATCATGTGTGTTTCTGTGGCTGTGTTTACCTGTACCAATGAAGGTCCGAAGTGGCCAAGGGCTGGGGTGTGATTAGTAAATGACAAACATCAGACATGTTACATTCAACAGAGTTTATGGAGCAGGAGTAATTTGTGAATGAGGTAGCCCTAGGTTTTATAGGTTCTGCCACGGGACTGGGTAACATTTACAGACAGAAAAAGCAAATCACATACAGGAAATGGAAATGAGTCCAAAGACAGATAGATTAGTTCAAGTTTAGCGCTTGCCTTATTTGAATCTAGTTTGAATAGTCGGCTGTCGCTGGCTGACTGAAGCTCAGCTGCTGTGACTGGCTGAGACTCAACTACTTGTTCTAAGAGTAGGCTGCAGTCTATTTATGCAATGAGTGAGTTTGCAGTTCACTATGTATGGAGTAATTTTAGGTCAAGCTTCAAATATGTGTAGGGGCAGTGCCAGGCCAAACTTGACTTAATTTAGAAAGTATGACATACAAGTTTGAGGAAAGACCGTGGGTATAGGGTCACGAAACATGAACACTCACTCTCTCCTTTGCTTGAGCGGTATGAGAAACAGTGAAGACAGGAGGCTTAGAGGGAAAGATAAGAGTTGCTATTCAGAAAGTAGATCTCCGTGGACCTATCTGGTAGCCCATTTTGTAGTTGAGGATAATGGCAAACCAATAAGCAAGCAAGCAACCAAACCACCGATGTGGCCTGTTGTATCTATCAATTCTCATGAGACACCATGATCATTGAAGTAGCAACTGACTCTGCACAGAGCTGTCTCTCTGTGCGTGACAGTGTATTCCTCACTACTATAATGAATAAGCTGAAGCAAGCTAACTTTATAAAGAAAAGATGTTTATGTAGCTAATAGTTCTGAAGGGCATGGCGCCGCATTAGCATCAGTTTGGAGATGGCAGGAGGGAGGGGCACATCCCAGGACAGGAAGCCAGCGAGTGGTTCCGAGTCAGGCTCAGGCTTTTCTAACAACTAGCACAGCCCCGTGAGAGGCATCTTGGCTCTTTCTAAGGGCAGTGCCCCCAGTGGACCAGGACCTCCCAGAAGCCCCTCCCCCTTAACATTTCCCCACCTTCATCACCACACTAGTGCCCAAGCTCCCAAGACATAAAGCTTCAGGAACCCATCAAGCAGAAAGGGACTCACGGAAGGGGAGACTGTTCATTCTGTGGAATGTTGTGCCCAGAAGACAGTGACCCTATGGTTTGGAAAGCCCCACATTTTTCTTATTTGTTTTTAAGAAATATTTTTCTTCAATGGCCTTAGGATTAGTGAACCTTATTTTGAATGTATCTGTTTGTCAAGGTTAGTCTCCAAAGAGGGCAGGGTCAGAGTGGAGGGGGCAACTGGGAAGTAAGTAAGGACTTTTTGGTTTCTGCAGTGACTGAGAGGAGGGAGGCCAGCATTCATGGGTGGGGGGTCAGGGATGTTGATGTCCTGCAGGTGCTTCCATGTAGCTAAAAAACCTGCTTATATCAAGCCTTAAATGTTTGTTACATTTTAGCTGAATTTTTCTAGAAACATTAAATTTTCTAGGAAAGCAGCTTTCTTTTACGTTGAGGGAAAGTCATACTTTGGAATTTTACCAAGTTGTTCACCATTTTAGAAAATCAAGTTATTCTATCTGATATCTCAGTTGCCAAGGCAACATACAGGGTATGTCTACATTAGTATCAGTTGTATTCATAGTGATCTCACTTGTCTATAGAGAGCTATAATTATTTTAAAGTGTCAGAAATCTTTAAAAGAGCATTTTATTAGAAATCGGTATAATTAGGGGCTGGTGCTGTGGCATAGTGGGTAAAGCCGCCACCTAAAGCGCAAGCATCCCATGTGGGCGCTGGTTTGAGTCCCAGCTGCTCCACTTCCAATCCAGCTCTCTGCTATGGCCTGGGAAAACTGAAAGATGGCCCAAGTCCTTGGGCCCCTGCACTTGTGTGGGAGACCTGGAGGAAGCTTCTGGCTCCTGGCTTCAGACGCGCGCAGCTCTAGCCACTGCAGCCAACTGGGGAGTGAACCAGTGGATGGAAGACCTCTCTATCTCTCTCTCTCTGTGCCTCTCCTTCTCTCTGTGTAACACTGACTTTCAAATAAATAAATAAATCTTTTTTAAAAAAAGAAATTGGTATAATTACTCAATTATTTGATTATGTAATTGAGTTACAGAATTTACATATTGAAAATAAATTATTCTTCTTTATAGTTGAGGCATTTGTTGATTTTTAAAAATTGTTTTGTTTGTATTTATGCTATCCACACATTTTGGAATACTAATGAGGACATATGAGTCTGTAACATTTGTCCCCTACGTGCTGTGGGGTCTAGTAGACAATCACTGTGCAAAAGGCAAACTTGTGGAGAGACCATTGCCACTCTTAGGCTGAGGTGACAGTGTTCTGGGAGCTTGTTGGCCCAGAGACCCTTGTATGTGTGATCTGGAGCCAAGGGGAGTACCATGCAAGGGAAGAGCCCAAGAAAAGTGGGTGAGAGGGCAGGAACCAAGGATGCCAGGATCACACAGCCAGGTCCCTCATGGAAATGCATTTGGTCATTAAAGGGCTTGTGCCCATTCAAAAGTCAGTGTAGAGTGATGGGCAGTGGGAGGAGGAAAGAGAAAGAGAGAAAGAGAGAGAGAGAGAGAGAAAGAGAGAAAGAGAGAAAGAGAAAGAGAAAGAGAAAGAGAAAGAGAAAGAGAAAGAGAAAGAGAAAGAGAAAGAGAAAGAGAAAGAGAGAATATCCTCCATTTGCTAGTTCACTTCCAAAATGGCTGAAACAGTTGGGACTGGTCCAGACTGAAGCCAGAAGCCCAGAACTCCACCTGGGCCTCATACGTGGGTGGCAAAGGCCCAAGTACTTGGGCCACCTTCTGCTGCCTTCCCAGGCATACATTAGCAGGGAGCTGGATTCGAGGTGGAGCAGCTGGGACTCAAATAGGAGCTCTCATACGGGATGCTGTCATCACAGGCAGAGGCTTACCCCACTGCACCACCATGCCAGCACTCCCCACCCCAAGTATATATTTTTTTAATTACTTGAGAGTGAGTGAGCAAGCGTGCCCATCTTCTGGCTCACACGAATGAGGCTGGAACTGGGCCAGGCCAAAGCTGGGAGCCAGGATCTCAGTGCAGTTCTCCAAAGTGGGTGACCAGAACCCCGCTATCTGGCCCATCGCTTGTTGTCTCCAGGTGTGCATTCATAGGCACCAGGAGGCCGAGCCAGGTGTTAAACACAGGCTCACTGTGAAATGGGACGCATTTCATTCCTTCCCCTTTTCATAAGATTTATGTATGTATCTGAAAAGCAGAATTACAGACAGAGAGCGGCAGAGACAGAGGGAATTTATATCCACCCCCCAAATGGCTGCAACAGCCAGGGCTGAGCCAGGCTGAAGCCAGGAGCCTGGATATCCATTTGGGTCTGCGATGTGGGTAGCAGGAGCTCAGTTACTTGGCCATCTTCTGCTGTCTTCCCAGGCACAACAGCAGGGAGCTGGAGCCAAAGCAGAGCAGCCAAGACTTGAACTGGTGCTCATGTGGGAAGCAGGCACTGGAGGCAGAGGCTTCACCCCCAGCGCCACAATGCTGGCCCCAGGACAACTATTCTCCTCTGTGGCAGTCCAATCAGGCAGATAAGAGAAAATCAGAGCAAAGCCTCTTCATTTTTAAAAAAATTTTTTTGACAGGCGGAGTGGACAGTGAGAGAGAGATAGAAACAGAGAAAGGTCTTCCTTTTCTGTTGGTTCTTCCCCCAGTGGCCGCTGTGGCCGGCACACCACGCTGATCCGATGGCAGGAGCCAGGTACTTATCCTGGTCTCCCATGGGGTGCAGGGCCCAAGCACTTGGGCCATCCTCCACTGCACTCCCTGGCCACAGCAGAGAGCTGGCCTGGAAGAGGGGCAACCAGGACAGAATCCGGCGCCCCAATCGGGACTAGAACCCGGTGTGCTGGCGCCGTGGGCGGAGGATTAGCCCATTGAGCCGCAGCGCTGGCCGAAGTAAAGCCTCTTCAAGCATCTGCTGCTCTCCAAGGACCTTTAATTTAATCAGTATTCCAGGGGGCTGTGTTATGAGCCCCAACACCACCATCACAATCAAAACAATGAACACATCCATCCCCTGCTCAAGCTTCTGCTCCTCTGAGATCTCCCCCACCTCCTCCTGATCGCTGATCTGCTCTGTCATCACAGCTTCATTTCACAACCCCCTCTCTATTGCTGTGCCGTGTGGAGGGGACAGCACTGCATCAGTCACTCCCAAGGTGGCCCTGGGCCTGACTGGGCTGGAGACAGCAGGGGAGAACCCACTCACACTCCACCGCCCACTAGAGGGCCCGTCAATCAGTTGAAGTTAGGTCCATCGTAAGGCTCCTCGTGAATTAAGGCAATCACGAATCACTTGATTCACTCTTATACAGGGCTGTGTACATGAGCATCACTTGAGGATAAAAGACACTCTCAGTTCCTGGCCCCCTGTCCAAGATTTAATCAGTCGGAGAATGAAGGCCCAGGAGAGCTGCGGTTTTTGAAGGCTCCCAGGTGGTTCCAAAGCATGGACAAGGTTGGGAGCCCTACACGTATCCCACAGGTGAGATTGGGTCTGGGATTCCCAACTTAACTCAGGTGAGTAGGACACCTCCCTCCACGCCAGGGAGGAGTATTGCACTTTTTAAAGATTTATTGTAATCGTTTGAAAGGAAGAGTTACAGAAGACAGATAGAGGTCTTCCACCTGCTGGTTCAAACCCCACCCCCCCCCAAATGACTGCAGCAGTCCAGGATGGGCTAAGCCAAACCGGGAGCCAGGAGCTTCTTCCAGGTCTCCCATGTGGGTGCAGGGGCCCAAGCACTTAGGCCATCTTCTGCTGCTGGTTCGCAAGTGGAGCAGCCGGGACTCGAACCTGCGCCCATCTGGGAGGTCGGAGTACAGGGAGCAGCCTCACCCGCTATCCCACAGCGCTGGCTCAGTGTGTGCACCACAGTCTCGGAGGCCTGCATCTCACTGGAGTCCCCGCTTGACGTTCATGCTGCTCGGTGCCCGCTAGGGACCAGCCATGGGCTACGCACTTTAGCTAACGGGGAGCTCTGAGGGCCAACCAACTGAAATGGCTTTGATTTTTCTGTTTTGTTCACTGCTGGATCCACAGAGCCTAGAACAGCGGCAGGTACATAACAAGTTCTTAATAAAGGCCTTAGGCTTGGGTTGCTTTATCTGACACTGCAGTGGTGGTGGGTGAATTCCAGATTACCTTGCAATTTTTTTAAAAAATAGGATTAACATGCAATACTTGCACATTTTATGGGGTACCACGTGGGAGGGAGTTCACCACGTGTATACAGCGTGTACCGAGCAATCAGGCTAACGTCTATTTGCATTTCCTTACCATTACTCAACGCTTGAAGCACATCCCTGGGTAATTTTTCTTTTTTTTTTTTTTTTTTTTTTTTTTTGACAGGCAGAGTGGACAGTGAGAGAGACAGACAGAGAGAAAGGTCTTCCTTTTGCCGTTGGTTCACCCTCCAATGGCCGCCGCTGCAGCCGGCGCACCGCGCTGATCCGATGGCAGGAGCCAGGATCCAGGTGCTTTTCCTGGTCTCCCATGGGGTGCAGGGCCCAAGCACCTGGGCCATCCTCCACTGCACTCCCTGGCCACAGCAGAGAGCTGGCCTGGAAGAGGGGCAACCGGGACAGAATCCGGCGCCCTGACCGGGACTAGAACCCGGTGTGCCGGCGCCGCAAGGTGGAGGATTAGCCTATTGAGCCACGGCGCCGGCATCCCTGGGTAATTTTTCATTGTGACACCGGATCACGGAAACGCACTCCTGCTTCTGACTTCTCCGGTTTCGAGTAAGACACACACATTACCTCTGAGATACTCCTTCTGCCAGCCTCGCCACGCCTCCGCCGGGACCTGCCCTAATAAGGTAGATTCCGACACTGGCCCCGGGGACCGAGGGAGCGCGGGCGGGGCCGGCTGTGCGCATGCGCGCAGCGTTTACGCCCGGTCTCGGAGAAGCGCGCGCAGACTCAGAAACTTCGCTTCCGCCCTTGGCTCCGCCCAGCTTGCCCTCTTTGGGGCGGGGCGAAAGCCGGACCCTGGGAGACGAGGCGGGGGTGGTGGCTACGCGCGTGCGCAGAAGGGAGCTGAGGGGCGGGACCGCACGGTGGAAGAGGCCTGAGCGCTGCGGGGCAACATGCAGGTGAGCTAGGCGGGAGCGGGGTCTGGGTCCCGCGATGTCTCGTGTGTCCCCCTGGGCTCGTGTCGTTCTCGGGTGTCAGGCTTGTGAGAAGTACTGGGCACCCGAGGCACGAGGGAGGCCCGGCGAGCCCAGGCCCGGCGCAGGCGCAGTGCGGGATGGCAGGTGCGGTCCGGCCGGTTCGCGGAGGCTGGGGGTCCCCGCCCCGCTGTCCCTGCCGGCTGAAACTCCGTCCTTTGGGGGTGTTTGCCCTGGGCGGGACCCTCCTCAGTTCCCTTCTTGAGCCTTGAGCAGGTGTGCTGTGGGCCCACTGTTGGGATGTGGAAGTCGAGTCTTGGAGAAGTTCCGCCTTAGGAAACAGTGTTCCTGGCTGCGTTCCGAGCTGGCTTCGGACACGTCTCAGAAGCAGGCCATATATTCCTCCCTGGCCCAGCACCTGGCCCAGCACCACGCCCTCCGGGCTTGATGTTGCGCTCCCTATAGCCTCAACTCCCCTGTCCTAGGACCCCAATGCGGACACCGAGTGGAATGACATCTTACGCAAAAAGGGCATCCTGCCCTCAAAGGAAAGTCTGAAAGAGTTGGAAAAGCAGGCGGAAGAGGAGGAGGAGCGAGCGCTGCAGCAGTCAGTGGGTGAGTGCGCGTGTTTTCTTTGGTCTGTGGGTCTGGCTTAGGAGACACCTCTCTAAGCCTCCAGCTCTTGCCGTAGGGGGCTCCTCTGAGAGCCAGACCCCGGGCTGCAGGGCAGGCGTGGTCACAGGGCGTCGCTGGCCATCACCTTCCTGGACACAGAATTTTTAAAGATTTATTTATTTATTTGAAAGTCGAGTTACAGAGAGAAAAGGAGAGGCAGAGAGAGAGAGAGGTCTTCCATCCACTGGTTCACTCCCCAGATGGCCGCAACGGCCAGAGCTGAGTCAGTCTGAAGCCAGGAGCCAGGAGCTTCTTCCTGGTCTCCCACGCGGGTGCAGGGGCCCAAGGACTTGGGCCATCTTCTCTGCTTTCCCAGGCCACAGCAGATCGGAAGTGGAGCAGCCAGGATTAGAACCAGCACCCATATGGGATGCCGGCACTGCAGGCCGGGGCTTTAACCCGCTGTGCCACAGCGCTGGCCCCAGGCCACAGATTGAGACTTGGCTGCACCCTTTAGTCACACAGTCCCATGTCTGTGTCACCTGAGCGCGTGATGGTGCTGAAGAAAGTATTTGAGTCCTGACCTTCTGCTCATGGGTTCTTTGGGTAATGTCCTAGAAGCTTGTTCAGAGTGTTTAGTGTGTTCTCCTGGGGAGGTACTTTCTTACCTTTGTGATTTGCTTGAGGATATGAAATGAAACTAGCTTCACTTGGGGAGGCATGTTTGCAGCGTTCGGGGGCTGGGAGGGATTTCCTCAAAGATGCCTGTGTCACCTGAATCAGAATCCCCGCGGGGCTTCCAGAAACATTCTCCGACCCTGCCGGGTGGGAGTCTCCGGGGTGGGGCCCAGGAGTCTGCCTTGGAAAGGAGGACTTGAAAGGATGTTGATACATACAACCTACAAGAACCGTGGACTACAGGGACTAATGCTCTTATCCCCTGTGGGCCCCGTGGAGCTAATGTAGAGGAGGATTGATTAGAAACCAACCAGCAAATGCTTATTGGATGATGGCTGTTCCGGGCACTGAAGCTGGCAGCTGGGCACAAGCCAGACAGAATTCTGTGTCCTGGTGGAACTTCGAGGGTAGTGGCAAAGACAGACAGCAACAACCAAGGGACTGGGGCTAGGGAGGGTTGGAGCAGAAGCAGGCCCGATTCTAGCCGGAGTCAGAAGAGGACAGCTGCGGAAAGACCCGGAGAGAGGAGGCAGAGATGAGAGTAGACCTGAGGGGTAAGAGTGGTAAGAGACACTTAGGGCAAAGACCTGAAGGGTGATGATACACACCCCGGAAGGGTTAGGTGAACAAGCGAAAAGCCAGCTGACGCGTTGAACAATCCGCAAAGAGGCCGGAACCCCTGGGGAGAGTACTCCCAAAGACTCGGGCAGCTTTTGGAGGTTTGTTTGTTTTTTATAGATTTATTTGTTTGAAAGGCCGAGTTAGAGAGCCTCTGTCCACTGGTGCACTCCCCATGTGGTGGCAACAACTGAGGCTGGGCCAAGCCAAAGCCAGGAGCCTGGAACTCCATCTCGGTCTGCCCTGTGGGTGGCAGGCCCCCAAGCACTTGAGCCGTCTTCTTCTACCTCCAGAGATAAGTTAGCAGGGAGCTGGATCGGAGGTGGAGCAGCCAGGCCTCGAATCGGCACCCGTACGGGATGCTGATGTCACAGGTGGTGGCTTTGCCCGCTAAGCATAACGCTGGCCCCAGCTTTTGGCGGTTGAAACAGAGCAGTGACATGACCTCCACTTTGACAGCGCTGTCCTGTTGCTGCCTAGCTGAGCGTAGGCTTTGGGGTGGGGGACACGGCAGGAAGCAGTGCAGGATTCTGGAAACTGTTGTGGTAGTTCAGGTGAGAGGCTGCATTGGCTCAGAATGGTGTGGTGAAGGTGAAATGGTGAGTAGTGGTGTAGTCAGGTTGTAGTGGGATTTGCTTCTGGACCCAAGGAAGGCTAAGAGAGCTAAGCGTATTCATGGGCTTCTCATCCCTCCAACACAGTACCCGAGAAAACGAAAACGAATTGTTTTGGAGGTTTAAGTCCCAGAATGGGGCCCCATTGGTTTGGCCCCTAATGTGGCAAGGTGGCAGTGGTGGAGCATGGAGAGCTGCTGTGGAAAAGGGTCCCATGGCCAGCCAGGAAGAGGCGTGGCTGGGCCCGACTCGACTTTTATAACCAGTCCTCTTGGAAAAACGACCTTCCAGGGGCCTACGGACTTCCCACTCACTGGACCTACCTTCTATACACCATAAGTGGTTTAAGTTTCCACCCTCCTAGTGCTATTACGAGTTTGGGATTTCAACAGCTGCATGAATTAGGAAGCCAGATCTTGTTCATACCACTGCAGTTAGAGTGACTGCACGCCTTAGTGCCTGAGCAACCTGAAGGGTGGAGTTGCCACCAACTGAGATGAAGGCTTGGAGAGGAGCAGGTTTGCAGGAAGATGGGGACTCTGTTTGGGACATGTTAACTTTGAGAGTCTCACTGAACAAGTGGAGGGGCTAAGCAGGTGGTTGGGTGTGTTTTCAGAGAAGTGTGAGCTGGGGATGTGACTTTAGGAGTTGTGAGCGTACCGAAAACACAGAAAGCCCCTAGAAGTAGTCACTGAGGGTGCAGGCATAGAAGCTGAGTCAAAGAATTGAACCCTGAGCACTTGTCATCAGCAGAAGGTTCACAGTGGGCACAGCTGTAGGGGCAGGAGGAGAACGGGGCCTCCTGGAAGCCAGGGGAGGCCGGGACGGCTTGGATCAGGTGCCGCTCGTCATCAGGGAATGAGGTTGTTGACCTGGATGAGAGTTTGTTGGAGGCACAGCGAAAGCCAGGTTTGCTGTCAAGCAGGAGTGACAGTAAAAATGAGATGCTGATTTTATACCAGTTCATTACAAGAAAGGATAGAGTTGCCTGCCACACAGAAGACATGGCCAAGAAATACATGACGGTCACCTTTAACTCCAGGAAAGTGTGTGTGGGAAGGTCCCCTGCTGCCATCACCCCGACTCCTTGGGTAGTAGAATTGTTGATACACCTGCCGCTAGTGGATATGCCCGACCAGGGGACTTCGGGCTTTGTAAACCTGGGAGATTTCTCACCCATCCACTCACTGTGTGGGGGTGAGATGCTCCCGTCTGTAGGTGTCCGCACAGGTTTTTCTTTTTAAAACACCCCCCACGTCTTATTCACTAGTGAGATGTAAGTAATCTTTATGTTGGTGAGCTGGGGCCTGCTGGTATTGTGTGCTTACCTTTAGGAGAAAAGCGAAGGGGAATACCCAAAATGCATGTTTGTTCATCTTGAATTTTTGTTTTTTTTGCTTTGGCTGTTGTAACTAAATTCAGTGAAGACGTATGAAGATATGACATTGGAAGAACTGGAAGATAATGAAGACGAATTCAATGAAGAGGATGAACGTGCTATTGAAATGTATAGGTTAGTGCCACTCAGAGGGACCGTTTAGGTTTTTTGCGTGGTAATTTTTACCATACCGTAAAATGTGCATCCATTGTAAATTTACTTTTCTGGGGGCTGGTGTTGTGGCACAGTGGATGGAGCCACACTGCCTGTATTGCCAGCATCCCATATGAGTGGTAGTTAGAGTCCTG